AAATATGTATTAAAAAATAAACAAATTCAAAAGATCAATACAAAAACATAAATATTTTATTTTAAAATAGGCGATTTAAACTTGTATATTGTATCATTCGTAACAACAATAGCTTGTATTTTCTTACAACTGAATTCACCACCTTCTAATTTTTGTGTGGGAGAGGAGGAGGCAACAAAGTTGCCGTTGACAGGTCTTGCCAGAATCAGCAAAAAAAAAGAAAACAAAAACAACAACAACAAAAAGAAAAAAACACTTAAAACGCTGATTTACGTCACGTCTAAGACAGGCAACAACAAACACCAGTCAACCCCCTTCGTTAACCCTTAATTGAATCCCAGTGGAATTTTTTGGGGATTTGACGGGGCAAAGGATCATTACGACGCACATTTTTTTTTTTTTTGGAGAAACTAACTTTTTTTTTTGTACAAAAGTGCAATGAAATTGGGTGTTAAGGAATGACGGGGCCACAAATCGATGAGGTGTAAGTAAAACCCTCTCCAATTTTTTTTTCTCACTTTCTGCTCTTTTGCTTTGACAGCTGCAAATTAATTAGATTTAATTATTGCCCTCCCGCCCCTCTCCACACCACCACCCACAAAACACCATTCCAATCACCTTCTTGTTGTCCTTGTATATTGATTGAGCCTAATTAACTGTGCTTGATGTTTTGTACGCGCTCTGCAAAATTTTAATCATCCATCAAAGCCAAAATCAAAGACTTGGGCAGGGGTGTGGGTAAAATGTGCGAAGGTGGAAGGAAAGTGTGTTGAGTGCGAAGAGCTGGGAAATGGACAAAAGCTAATTGGTTATTTGGCAACTGGTTTCTTTCGCTTGTATCTATTACAACAGATGCAATTATGACAGCACTTCGAATCAATCAATTAATATTCTTATCAGTACATATGCTTTTCAAATGACAAATGCGGGATTTGCTCAAATAATGCGGAAAATTCACTTTAAATAATCATATAGGAGGGTGCAACACATTAAAGTTGCTTAAGTAAATTTAAAAAAAAAGCAATTGTGGGTCATTCTCAGCTTCTAGCCGTAAAGTAAGTTTTTTTCGATCATGTTTTGTTTTTGCCTATATTTTACTAGACTATTTATCTCTAATGTTATATTTTTCTAGATCAACATTTATCAAACGCTTGAAAGATACTCGTATCTTTGCTTGGCTTTTTTAAGTATGTTCAGTTTTTTGTATGGTTTCCTTTTGCAATTAATTCGCCAAATCATTTATCAATCAATCAGCGGTAATGTTTCGGCCAAAGCCAAAGAAAAATAGATTTTTAGAAAAAAAAAAACTTGTGCTCACTGACACAACCGCAGAGCCAAGCACTTGACAAGTGTGCCAAAAAGGCAAAAAAGACAAAAAATAAACACGACAAGGTCGCCATTTGTGAAGGCCTTTTACCTCCTATTCCGAACCTCCTCCTTCAACCCACCGAAAATTGGCTTACAATTGCTCTTGTAGAGCAAACGAAAAAGTACTAAGTAAATCAAACGTCAAGTGGCCAAAAGCACCCAAAAACCAAACACACAAAAACAAACCAACAAGATTGAAAAAACAAAAACAAAAAAAAAAAAGTTGACAGAAAAAAAAAACCAGTAGAACAAACACGTCACGGCAATTAAAAGCCAACGGAATACAAGAAATTTACACAACAACAAAAATCGAATTGTAGATGGTTGGTTGGGGGGTTGTTTTCGAGGCTTAAAAAACTAAGCCGCATTTGTTGTTCTTGCCATGTCAATTGACCATTGGTTTGAGGGATAAGAAAAAAAAAAACAAAACAAAAAGCCACGAAGAATTCGAGAAATATCGACAGACAGACAACGCTAAAGAATGGCACAAAAAACAAAAATAAAACAAAAAAAAAAAAGAAAAGTGGAGCCGCAGAATTTCATCGGTTCTTACATCTTGCTGCACTGCCACTTGGCCAAAACAGTAAAAGGCCAAAACGAACCACAACCAGAGATGGCATCGTGATTTTAACTAACTAAATTAGCTAATAATTAGAAACAAAAATAAGAGGATAAATATAGCAAGACTATAGGTGGAAAAATAGCCTAAAAAGTCTTTGGACTTAAGTTATTTAACAAAAAAAAAAACGATTTAATTATTTAAAAATATACATTAATGGGAAATATTAAGTTTCATAAAACAAAATGTATTAACTATCAAAAAATATTTTCAAAAAAGCTTTCGAATCATCATCCTTCTTCACACACTAATTTATTTGAGCCAAACAAATGATTTCCTAGAATTTGGCCACACAAAGTGTCATGATTATCTCGGGCAATCCCGGAGCTTCCTGGTACGTGACTCACGGACACATCCCTCGACTGCCTGGATCCCCAAGATCCGACAGAGGATGCCCCACAATTATGCCCTTTCCTGACCACAGACGTGGACACTCTGCATGCCAAACTTTTCCACTTTGCAACTATTTCAAAAGTGAAGCGAAACTTGTGGCCCACTTAGTCGGTCTTCCATGTCTATATATATATATATATATATATATATATATATATATATTTGGATATATATCCGTGTCAACTACGGAGATTGGGTCTCTCGTCGATTTCCAATGCGGTTCGTGTCTTTGCCTGCTGCATGATTTATGATTTCTGCCCCGAAAAGTATTTGCGGCATTTCATTCCCCCGCATTTGTTTCCCTCTTCCCAGCCCCCACGGCTAGGTCCAAAAATCCGTATCCGAATAAGAATCCGAATCCGAGTCCAAATCAGAAGCCAAGTCAGTGGCAGAGTCACAGCCAGAAGCGTTCAAAGTTGTCTACTCAAATCATTTTAATTGAAAATTACACATGAGCGAAGCCAAAGAACTGGCAAAACGAAAAAGGTAAATTTTGGACACATCACTTGACGATTTTTCTATGCTCTGACATTTTAAATTTACACATATAACCAACAATTATTTCTGTAATTATAAATTAAAAATATATATAAAAAATAATATAATATAAAAGAATTTTTTTCCAAGACATTTGGAAATGAAATATTCTCCATAATTGAGTTGTGAAATGAATCCGAGGAATGAGAGCCAAGCGAATGGATCCAAGGGCAGCGCATGGTGATGTGGACTTTTAGCCCAGTACATGTCCTTGGGCTGTGAACCTATACCCCCCGAGAGTCCCCACAAGCCCCCACCGATCTCCTCTAGCTAACCATTTACCATCGCACCCCCCTCTCCCCCCTCAGAAAAGGTTTCGCGCGGGCTTGGCCAGGACCTTGGCTCTCTGGGTTTTTGGCCTGGCACATGGCACGTTTTGTCCGTACCGGAAATGTCCATTCACTTGCATATTAACAAAGTTCCGCACACTCACACACCAGTTGCCGTTTGGTCTATGCAAATGCACAGAGAGAAATGGAAATTAATGGAATAATATATATAAATATATAAAATATTTCAATTAAATAAGTTTATCATGAATATTCTTGAAAATAATTTTCAATTTTTTGGAATATATAGATAAATTCGATAGTCTTTCGAAGAAGCGTTTAAGAATTTGTATCATAAGTATATATATAATATATATATATATCATATATATATTACACACTTAATCAGTTTTAGTGATCGTTACTATGAGAAACTTTCTTAATATCAATCAATTATCTATAACTACAATGCGAAAGCTTTAAAGACAATTAAATTGTTAAAAAAAATCACCAAAGCAGGACTTTAATTTATCCGTAGTGTATTCTTGGCTTTACTTAATAAACTCCCTTGGGAGAGACGGAAAAGAGAAAGCCAACCAAGTTGGTCGTACATCATAGGGTCCTTCCAAAATCCTCGCCATGGGGTGGATGTGGATGGATTGTATGAAGAGTGGGGGGTAAAGTCGGTGGGCAAAGGAAACAGGAAAGTATTTCGAAGGCACCGGAAACCGGAAGCAAGCAATAATTCAAATGAATTTCAAATCAAATCATTGCAAAACATTTACAAAGTATGTGCGCCAAAAGCGCGCTGCACAAAACCGCACAAGAGAGAGCAAAATGCCAGCAGTTTGTTTTGTTGGTTTTATTTTGCCAAGGTTTCAACTTTGACTTCTACCAGCTGCAGGTGGGCGCAATGCCCACTCCCATTTCTGGCCTTGCAGTGATTAATTTCTATTATTATGACACTGATTAGGTCCACTTACAGGCTCATTACAGTCATGAGGACATAATGCACAGCCAGGACACGTGACGGTGATTTAGGGGGCGCGAAATGGGCACGAGGACAGTGGACAGGGATATGGGGTTTTCAGGATGGCGGAGAAGGGACGACTAGGACGTCGTACAGGAACTGACTTTGGCTCCACCAGCCAAAAGGAACTCCCCCAGGGTCGCCATCCTGCAGACATTTATCAAGACATTGACCGCCGCATGCAGCGCCGACCGGAGACCGTTTGTCTTGCACTTGACCAGGGGCTCACCAAGGGGGGTTCTACCCAGGGCACACACCTAAGCACACCGACAGTGGCCCTCTGAACATGAACACCAGTTGGCCCATAAATTAGAGCCACAAACCCCAACTCACACTGGCCTACACAAATTTGTGGTCTCGCAAACGCTGTTAACGAAGGTTTAAAAATAAACTAAAGGTAAGTCCAAGCCTATGATTTGGTAATATAATCAAATCTAAAATCTAGATTAAACTAAACTAACCTAGATGCCTTCTTAATAAACTTTTTCATTAACACTTCAGATATCCAAATGTATTTTTACTATAAATACCAATTTTAATAAACTTTTGCAGTTTTAATCATAAAATAGAAACACTTTTCCCTTTCCGACCTAAAATTAAATAAAAAACAATAAAACTTTTGTTGCACAGTGTAATTGCTTTCAATTATTTAAATAAATAAATTAAGTTGCCTTCTTCGCATACTAAGAGTAGTCATTGTTAAAAAAAAAAAAAATAAATAACTTGGCTTCGAAAAAAAAATCATGATGTAATCATTTTGCTTAACTAGGTTGGGTACGGGGGGGGCGGAATTAGCGGAATCCCTTATTTTTAACCGCGATTTGGACGGACAACCATCACCTGAGCCTTCTTCTTGCCGCGTTTATTGCCTCGTCGGCGACGTCGCTGGTTGTTGTTGTTAATGCTACCACGCCTCTTGTTAACCCGTCGCCTACGGGCCGGGACACGCCTCCTATTATTTTGGCCAGGACGCACTCGACTAGACACCGCCTGTCCAACGATCTGTGGCAAGAGACCGGCAACTGGTGATGATCCATAGATCACCTGATTGATGGCGGCATTGGTTGCTGATGAAGATGACGAGGACGATGATGATGATCCCGAGTTACCAAGATTTACATAGATGGCACCATTTGAAGTTGTCGTCACAACACCACTACCAGTTCCCGACGTTCCCGTTGTCGATGTTCCGGTGACACTTCCAGTTCCCGTCGATGTTCCCGTTGAACTAGAGCCCGAAGTTGGGCGCAGTTGCTCTAGCATATCCTGCTTATTAGTTATATATTGATTGAGGGCTGAATTTAGGCCTGAACTGGAACTACTACTGCTGCTGCTACTGCTACTTGTTAATCCCGAGGCCAGGAATCTTAGTTGACCATTCTCGTTGCCATCCTTCACATATATGCCAGCCAAACGGGCATTGGAATCCTTCTTGGCCACCGGTTCCTTCTCAATAACTTCGGCCATTGCTGATCCTGGCCAGCAACTGCCCAACAGACAGAGCACAAGAATTGTGTAGATCATTTCTGGACGATATGCTATCAAACTGTGTATGCCGTTGTCCAAACCTTTGCCACTTTTATAGCCCACGATGAGTTGACGAATTTCTATTGAATTGGATTGGATTGGGACGCTTTCTTTCATCGGTCATGGATGCCATGTTGCCCGGAATGCTATTTTTTTTTTTTTTTCAACCAATATGGATTGCTTTTTAGAAAGCCTTTCTTCATTCGCAATACATTATTTATTAAACCCTGAGGCCAATTTTTTGGGATCTCGAGTGGCAAGAGCGTGTCAAGAAGTACCCCGTTTTTATAGGCCATTGTTTGCTTTGCCGCCGCGGATCGTGAACCTCAAGTGGTCAGAGGCAAGTACAAAAAAAAAATCCAAAGCCATACTTTAATTAAAATTTAAAATCAGCAAAAAAAAAAAAAACACACACACATACACACTGAGAGATGCAGATTCAGTTTTTGGGAAATTCTCAAAAAAAAAACAGTAGCAGTAAAACAGTAACTTGAACACACTTTCGTTTGTAAAATAGACATGGCAAAATGTATTATTAACTTCGAATGACTTCTGCAAAAAAAAAAAAAAAAAAACTATTCTTCTACAATACAAAGTTTAACCCATAAACCGCTGAGGCACATTTATGAACCTCCTAACGCGTTTTTTCTCTCGAAATTGCATCTTTTCTTTTCTGCCTTTTTTTTTTCTTCTCATTTTGTGTTTTGAGATCAACTGCTGTGAGATTGTGCATTCGGAATGGATTCCATCACTCTGGCGCCAGTGTGTGCCGCAGATGGCGCCCCCTATTGGGGCGCATTTAACCCTCCATTTCCTCCACGCCACCGACCCTCTCCCGACTGACACATTCTGTTAACCCCCTCCTCGTGCCCAGCCTCATTTCATTCTATTGCCGTTGATGCTGCGCTGGTGGTTCCTTGCTCCTCAATTTTTCGCCTAAGTTGGCCAACCGACAGTTTTTGGGGCTGAATGCCTGGCGGGGGCTGTTGAAATAAATTTCACTTACGCCAACACGCACCAAAAATATACACTTAGAGAAGTGTTAAAAAACACTTAGAGTTTCAGATATATTAAATATCTTTAAGCATCTTTAATCTCACTTTTAAGTTAAGGAACTATTATCTAAATTCAAAAAATTCTCAAAATAATCTCAATTAATAAATATATAAATATATTTGTCTTAGTGCAATGGAAAGCCACACACAAAACGGAGAGACACATACGAATGTCGCTCACTGTTCGTGGTTCGTCGTTTACTTGGCAATGCAATTACAGGCGCTAACCGCGCGTGAAAACAGCAACAGCAACGGGGCAATAACAACAACAGCTTAGGCAAAAAAAACTATCCACAACGAAGTGTTTTATATTCTATTCCAATCAGCCAAAAGCTTCACAATTTTGTTATATAAATTTTTAGATAAGATCTTCTTTAAATATAATTCCAAAAAATAAAAAAAAACTTAAATAGTTTTCAGTAAAAAAGAAGACATAAATAAGCTTTCATATATATTCATATAAAAACTATACCAAGTTAAACATCAGAAATGACAAATTGGTAAAATATTAACAAAAACCCATCATAACTTTCAGAAAATATTTTAAAAAATTACAGTTTAGATATTTGAATGACATTTGGCTAGGGTATGTCTCATAGACCTTTGCCTGCTTCTTAGCCTTCCTCTTGATTCACTTTATCCGCTACCACCCCTTGATTTTCCACACCCACTCATATCTACCGTATCTTCCATTTCCCATTTTCCTGCCACTGAGCGGCTTAAAGCGACGCAATGACAATTAACAACAGGCGACAAAACGACAACGAACGAAGGTGAACGAGTCGGAGTGGTGGGGGGGATTGGCGAAAATTTAAGAGGGGCGAGAAGAGAGATTGTAGGGTGTATTCAGGGGGGGAAATGGTTCAGTTTCTGGTTGGAGGGAAAAACACAGGCGGTTTTTGCGGGGGTGACAATGGGTGGCAGCAGAATGCCATATCAATGACAGGACCAGAAGCCCAAGAAGAAGAAAAATAAAGAGACAACTTCACGCCAGGCTTCTTGGTAATAGATGGCACTCTCCTCCCACCTGCCTGCCTCACACACTTACGCATATTAACAGGCTTGAATTTTTCAGTTTTTCACAGACTTCTCCGACAACGCCACCCCTTCCATTTTCATTTTCACGTGCAATTGAAGTGCAAAATGCGTTTGCCAATAGAATTGCCAGCTAAAGTTTTTCCAAAAAAAAAAAAAAAAAAAAAAATAAATAAATAAACCCACTCTTACTCAGACTTTTCCCAACCACAATACAAGACTCAGTACCGCCTTTTTCCATCTACTCAATTTTTATTTTTGCTCCTGTTCGGTTTGGTTTTTGAAGGGAAATTTTTGTAAGTGAAATTTCAATGACATTTTAATGGAAATTGCAAATGAATGAAGAAATGGAAACGAAGCGAAGCTTTGGGGGCGGTTGGAAGGCAAAAAGGTGAACTTAGTGGCTTGGAAAACTGCAAAATAGGATATGCGGGGGGGTTACAGAGTTGCATAATTGATGGAATATCTTGGTTAACAATACTAAGAAATGCCATTTAAGAAGCAAAGTACAATAGCAACAACGAACATAATTTTATCGAAATTTATTATTCTTTAAATTAATTTAATGAAAAGTATTTTTTTTATCAATCCCCGGAGTCTAGATCTTGAATAGAAGTTTAAACAAATTATTCATTCAGATCTCATTTTAAGGGAATTTCTCAGAGAACGTCCATCACCGTTTTTCCCCTTTAATATTTAAATTAACAAGAAAGAACAAAAAAAAAAAACACAAACGCAGACAAAAGGGAAGAAAATCGAGTCAGACATGCAAACTGAGTCCCTTCGATATTGGAATAAAAATCCCGAGATCCCCACATGGCATTACGCATTCGACTTTGCCCCCAGGGCCTGGCGTCAGCTGTCTATTCCATGGATCTCCAAATCACCAGTCTTCACAGTCTGCAATCCGCTGTGTCTGCAGATCACTATATAATCTATATATATATATATATATATATATTTATATATATATTGCTGGGTTGTCTGGTCGGCAACCGAAATAGATGGAGTCAAAAGAATTTCCAGCCTATGTCAACCTACGTTGCCTGCTATGGGGAGAGACGTTCTGGCATTCTGTTTACAAAAATAGAATCACAAATACTCCCCAATCTGGAAAATGGGATCTTTAAAGCGATTTCCAGTGAGAGAAAATAATGGCACTATAACTATATTCCTACGTAAAACATCATTTCTATTGTAAAAGCTTGAAGATGAAACTTTTCTTTCATTGAAATTTCTATATAGATTTCAAAATAAATATTTGTAATACATAAATTTTTGAATCTAAGAATTCTTTAGTTAGTTATTTCAATAATAAAGGAATATTTCCAATATTTACACGTTAAAAATCCATTAAATTGATACTGACACTGCCATACCACTTTTATTTACAAATCATCAAAAATTCCTTCGAGTGCACTTTTACCCAATGCTGACTTCTCCCGAGATTTTCGCATTAAACATGTCAAACGCTTGTCTCGTCGGCTGCAATTAATAAAGGTGCTACATGGATGAGACGACTGGGGGATTGGTGAAATGGAAATGGAAATGGAAATGGAATGACTGGATCAGGCGACCGAGTTGTCTGCCCCGAGTCTTAAAATAGATCAACATTACATATTTCCTCTTCACGGATCTCTTCCATACATATTCCCGGATCTCCGATTTTCCCCCCGACTTTCGCCTAGCGTGTTAATTTGTCGCTCGCCCAAGGGGGTTTTTCCTTAACAAAAGTGAATTGGTAAACTCCGGATTCCTAATACCCTCGCGACTACGTATTATACACCCGTGGAGCACCCACCCACCTCCATACAACATTTCTTGTTATTTATTTGCCGCGTCTGTTTGTCATTTTCGGTATTTGGTATTCGGATTTTTCTTGGCGGAATTAGGGGGGGGAAAAACCAAAGTGAAATGGGGAAGTTGGACACTTTTTTCCTTTTTTTTTTTTTTTTTTTGTTATGACCTCAACGTGGGGAATTTCATTTTTCAATGCTTTAAAGGGAGGCTTTTACCTTAGGTTGGCAGGGGCGGCGCGATGATTATTGATCTTTAGACAGAAGTTTGTTACATTTCCGTGGCTATTTTAAGGGCACCTAGGGAATACACAATTGAAACACTTCCGTTAATGCATTGATATCACGTGCGAGGCCATGTTGACAATCTGATTTCCAGATGATCCTGAAACTGGGGGGAAGTGGCACTCGTTATTCAGGGTGGGCCCTGTGTTTTTTTTTCTCTTTTCTCTTCTTTTCTCTTCTTTGAAGATCAGGAAGAGGAAGTTGAATTTGACAACGGCGAGGTTTTTAAGCACTGAAGTCATTTTCGTAGAAAACTAAATATATGAAAACCAAAAAAGTTTGAATACATATATAAAGATCACTAGCAAGGCGACTTCTGAGCAGAATGTATCTTAGAATACCGGCAGTCTTTTTTATTAATATCAATAATATACCCTTAAAGTTAATGAAAACTTATATATTAAAGAAAAAAAGAAAATAATTGTTGATGATAATGTCGAGATAACTCAAAGGCATCGTTGAAATCCTTGCCATTGGAATGCAGCGCAACCATCGCCTGTCATTAGCGACATCCATCCAAAACCAAATGTGGTCCTTCAGTTGAATCTCTGCCGGAGCACTCCAACAAAGTTCGTAACGGCAAATTGAACTCGAGACCCGAGAGTCCACACCCACTTCATGGAGGAGGACAACTTGAGGACATCATGAGATCATGGGATGACAGCTGCAGGCAGGCCGGACCGATTGCAATTAGAAACGAGTTCAAGTATTTCCAGATGACCATCATAAATTATAAGGACAGTGAGTGCGGGCGTAACCCAAACATCCAAAACATGGAAATCAAAAATTTCGAGGGCCAAAAAAAAAAAAAGAAAAACCCTATGGTGGAGAAGTTGACCACTCGAAAGTATCAGATTCCAAAAAAAGAAATTTTGGAGGCGCCTTTTGGGCGGTAACCCGAAGGATTTATTTCCCGTGGATAAATTGCAAATGCACTTAAATAGTGAAAGGCTCTTGGATTTGAAGACCCAGGATAATGACAGGCGGCCCTTGTAATCCGAGAAGCGACTTCTTCTTCTAAATTCTTGTTAGCGTATTTCCTTTGAATTTGCGCCGCAAACTTTTTGTTTATTTGTTTTGTCAACATTTCTGGATCTTCTTGTTGTTGTTGTTGTTTTGGTTTTTTTAGAAGTCGTCTTTGGTTACGTTTTGGGCAAGTTTC